GTCTGTGATGCCATTCTATGAAGGCATATGAAAGTTTCACCTAACTTAATACTCATTAGCAATATTGTTAACCATGAGCATTAACACAAATTAACATAGAAAATAAATTACAATAAATCATCTACAACAGGATTTCTGCCCTTAACCCCCATCATCTTGATTCTTTTCTTTTTTGCTTGCATTTGCACATGTCCAGCAGGGACAGCTTCTTTTCCCTTCCATGTTGTTTTGATCGGAGAATAAGGCAGATTAGTTGGCACTGAGGCACCAGTGTGATCTCCATAAAACTGAATTTTTCTTGCACCAATTGGAACAACCCTTTTTTTCAACTTCTCAGCCCTCAATTCTGATTCACAAATCACCATTGGTCTTAGAGGTGGGTCTTCTTCATCTTCAACATTAGGACCATATGGTTCAAACTCTTGTGTTACAGCCTCAGCCCCAGTTTCAGCTTCAATTCCACCCTCAACATCAGAACCGTGTTCATTGTTAGACATTGGCCTTTTGCCTTTCTTCGAATGTGCATTATTTTCAGCACACTATTCCTGTAATTTTTTTTGTATTTAGATTAATTAGCTTACAATTAAAAACATGGAAAACCATGAAAAACATGTAATATTGTGCTTACCTTGTAACAGGACCTGACATTGTGATTTGATTCACCACAGTTGTTACATGTCATTTGAGTGCCTTTTCTAGACTGAGACCATTCACCCTTTCTTTTTCTTGCTTCATCTGGTTCTCTATTCCTTTTCATTTTTGGTCTACCCAATTGTTTCACAACATTAGTAGGCAACATTGCACTTGAAGGATCAACCTTCCAAAACTTTTGACCTCTTACAGGCTGCATCTTGTTTTTATATGTAAGCATGTAAGCCTCCTTGCTATACCACCAATGTATTTCAGTTATTGGATTTACTTTTTTGTGTGTCAATGCTTTGATGGCATGCTGGCAGGGAATACCTGATAAATCCCAAATTCTGCAAGTGCATCTCTTTTCCTTTAGATTGACAGTGTGTCTATCTTCTCCATCAGACACTTCATAGCCCCAATCTCCATTGAACTCCACCTTACAAGTGTGTGCAAATGCCCTGTAATCGATGTACAACTTCATGCATTCCGGACTGAAATCTATAACCCAAGTCTTCAACTTCTTTTCATTATTCACTAGCAATCTAATCACTTGTACTCTTATTTCTTCTAACATCTTGATTATTGGCTTGGCTCTAGCCTCAAGAATCCATGCATTGAATGATTCAGTGAAGTTGTTATCAACCATCATGTTCTTACACTGAGTATCAAAATAAGCTCTACACCATGCCTTTGGTGGATACTTTACCAAATTTCTTGCACCATCTTCTGATAGTTTCCCCAACTTATTTAATTGGTCCTTGAACTCTTCAACATAGGAACTCCAAGCACACCACCACATCAGCTTCCTCATTTGACCACTCCTCCATTTTCTGCACCAGTTACTCTCAATGTGTCTCACACAATACCTATGTTGAGCTTCAGGCAACACTTTGACAACAGCATCTATCAGTCCCTGTAACAGTGAAAGTTGAGAATAAATAAGTGTTAAAAACAGAAGTACAGTGAGTACAAGTTGAGTAAAAACAGTTGGTACATTATGTTAAAGAGTGTGTAAAAACAATGAATAAATTTGTGAATGAAAGTGAATTAAAAACAACATCATACCTTTTGCATATCCGAAATGAATGTGACTTCTGCACCATCTTTAAGGTCCAAAGACCCCTTCAATAACTCAATAAACCAGCACCATGTATTGCTTGTTTCTTTGTCCACTATTGCCCATGCTAGTGGATAGAAACTGTTCATAGAATCTTGTCCTAGAGCAACCAACAGAACACCCTAACATATACCTTTCAAAAATGTACCATCAAGTCCAATAAATGGCCTCAAACCAGATTTCCACCCTTTCTTAAGAGCATCAAAGCAGATGTACATCCTTAAAAATTTTCTTTTTCCTTCAGCCAGGGCATCCTTAGAGATATTTATCAAAACATCACTTCCGGGATTGGATTGCTTAAGCTCTTGTGCATAAGCCTCAAGCTTGTTGTAGTCATCAATAAAACTTCCATCCAACTTCTCAAGAGCCATCCTCTTAGCCCTTTTAAGTTTAGACTGACACACATTCAATTTTAAGTCATTTTCAAGCTCTCCTCTCATATCTTTTACCTTATACTTGGGATTATTTTGAAGCTTGTTCTTGAAGTATTGAGCTAAAGTAACTGCATCAGCTCTAGCATTAAAAAAGGTCTCCTCACATGTGTGCTTATTGATGAAAGTCTTTATCTTAAACCCTTCAGTTTTTCCATCTTTTGAAATCAAACACCTAAAGGGACATCCTATATCACAACCATACCTAGTTCTCTTTGTATCACCTTTTATTATAGTCAAAGCCCTTTTGTTAGCGAATGCATAATAATTCATAACCTGTCTACCTTCTTTCATGTCTTTAAATGTCATACCAACTTGCAATTCTTTGAAGCTTTCCAACTTGTCACCTACTACTCTTCCCCTTTCTTTGCTAATAGCATCCATCCACTCTAAATCGCATTCCTCACCCTCAGAAAGATCCATTCATCAACAGAACCAGGACTGTGTTCACAATATGTACCAACCTCAACATCTACACAACATGATTCAACATATTGTGTGATATTTTGGGCAACGACAGTGAACTCACCCTCCTCCACAACAAAGAAGTTGACGACTTTAAATTTCTCACATAGAAGGCTAAGGATGGCCCTAATTCCATCATCCCCATCTACTATATAATACTTTTCAGAGGGCCCAGTGACTAATAATTGTTTAACTCGAGAAAACCCTAGCTTGGAAATAAACTCATCACATATATCTTTATGACTCAATAATTCATGGTCAAAATTTAGCCAAGAGTGCACCAATTTCTTAGTGTAAGCCAACAGAGGTAAAA